CTGCGCAATTTAAAACCATATAACTCCGATTTTTATAGATCAGATTTACCTCTAGATCGATCCTTTCGAAAATCGTGATTTTCAGTATAATCACGGTTTTTCGCGAAGGTCTCCTGAGCAACATAAGAGGTATCTAATAGGCTGAAATTTTTACTAGGATAAGTACTCATTGCGATCTGTCTCTCTGGTGAAAATTTCAACTAGTCAACAGTTCATTTATTTGAACTCATCTTTTTAAGATAGATATCCAAACCTCATATGTATTCATATTGAAAATTTCAAGTCAAACGGTTATATCCATGATGAAATATAACTGCCACAAAAATGTACTTTTTTTTATCGATAGTGATCTTAGAAAAATAATTTTATGTTGAGAATGGACCAATATTTTTTTTTTGGAATAGTTTATATAGAAATTCATCAAACACTTGCCGTTATAATATATATATATATAAACTAGTCTAATCGAAAACCATCGATTGAATAGGGTCGATCGTGGTTTACATAGAATGTTTCATAAAAAAAAAAATGTCTATATTGATTTTTTTGAAATTTTTAGGCTATCGGTATTGCACTTGAAACACGTCGAATAGATATATTTGAAAAGGGTATTAAAGAAGCGGTATGATTATTTTTTGTTTATTCAATATTGATCAAAGAATTTTTCTTTTAATTTTTAAGAATCATTCACCTGAAATGCTCACATATGCATTTAAAATTACCATGCAATTATTACAAAACCGAAAATTTCGTACAGTTCTTTTACGTACACTTGTTCGTCTTTATCTTAATTTACAAGTACCGGATTTTATTAGTGTTTGTCAGGTAGAAAAATTCTTTTATTATTTTCATAAAATATATATACATAGAAATTTTTATGTTTCAATTAGTGTTTAATCTTTCTTGATGATCCTGATCAAGTAGCTGATATTTTACAAACACTTGTTCGTGGTACAACTGATCAAATGCTTATGGCATATCAAATTGGTTTTGATTTATATGAAAGTGCTACACAACAATTTTTAAATAAAATTCAAGATGCTTTACGTGTTCAAGCACCAATACCAATTATGTTTGATAAAGCACAAGGAATAATTAAAGATGAACAACAAGGGTAAGTTTTCTTTTCTTTTTTTGCAACAAAAAAAGACAAAGAAATTTTTTCCAATAAAATAAATAGAACGAATGGTAGTGAATCTATGGAAACAAATCAGGATGAAACTAGTAGACAATCAGTAGAAGAATCAAGTGCACCTAAAGATAAACAATCTTTACAACAAGAACATAAAGATAAAGTTAATAATTTAGTATGTAGATTATTATTCTTATTATTATTATTATTTGATATTATCTTTTATTTTATTTTTTTTTTTGTCAAGTCTCAAGAAGAAAAACAATTACAAGATCGTATTGAAAAATTATTAAATATTCTTAGTGGGGAAATAACTATTGGTGTACATATGCAATTTCTTATTAAAAATAATCATGCTGATTTATTAATTCTTAAACAAATTAAAGTAAGAATATCATCATTAATAGATTTTATTCTTTTGTAATTATTATTATTATTATTATTAAATAGGATGCTGTACGAAATTCAGTATGTCATACAGCTACTGTTATTGCCAATGGTTATATGTTATCAGGTACAACAAGTGATCAATTTTTTAGGTATATTCTAATAAGATTATTGTTTTTTCTTTTGCTATATTAATAATTAATATCACAATGTCTATTTAGAGATAACCTTGAATGGCTTGCTCGAGCTACAAATTGGGCTAAATTTACAGCTGCAGCAAGTCTTGGTGTTATTCACAAGGGTCATATAAAGGAAGCACTAAATTTAATGAGTGCTTATTTACCAAAAGATTCAACAGGTAATTCACCATATGCTGAAGGTGGTGGTTTATATGCACTTGGTCTTATTCATGCAAATCATGGTGGAGATATTATTGATTATCTTATTAATCAATTACGTTCAAATTCAACACAAACGGATGTATGTAGAATATTTTAATATAAATATTCAATTTTTTTTTTTTTTTGCAGACGGTTCGTCATGGTGCTTGTCTTGGCTTAGGTTTAGCAGCTATGGGCACAGCACGTAGTGATGTCTATGAATTATTAAAAACAAATTTATTACTTGAAGATGCTGTAGCTGGTGAAGCAGCTGGTTTAGCTATGGGTCTTGTTATGCTTGGTACTGGTTCAGCACAAGCTATTGAAGATATGGTTCAAGTATGTTGAACCATATAATACAAAAAAACAAACCAATCATTATGAAATTTATTTATTTTTTAGTATGCTCAAGAAACACAACATGAAAAAATTTTACATGGTTTAGCTATTGGTATTGCACTTGTCCAATATGGTCGTTTAGAAGAAGCTGATGCACTTATTGAACAACTTCAACGTGATAAAGATCCTATTTTACGTCGTTCAGCTATGTACACTGTTGCTATGGCATATTGTGGTACAGGTAATAATGCAGCTGTACGAAAACTTCTTCATGTTGCTGTAAGTTTTCAAAAAGAAAAAGAAAATATTTATTTAAAAAACAAAACTTTTTTTGTTTTGTATATAGGTTAGTGATGTAAATGATGATGTTCGTCGTTCAGCTGTTGAATCACTTGGTTTTCTTATGTTTCGGTAAGTGCTAAAATTTCATATTCAATAGAAGTGTAATTACACTTCTTATAAAAGTGCGAGAGAGAGAGAACAATTTGAATGACTTTTTTTTAATTTCCTTCATTGATATAGTGTTAAATAAAGTTAGATGTGTTGGTATCAATTTTTATATCGATACAATCCTTGTTTTGATAGGAGAAAAACTTGAATGACTAGAAAAAAAGTAACAATTATCAACATGAATTTATTACAATGTAAAATGAAATATATTTTATGAATTTTTTTTTTTTGAAAATATTTCATTTTAATTCAGTGTTAATAAAATTACATCTAGAATAAATATTCTCATCACATATCTCAATGCATTGGTGTAAATGAAACTAAATAGATATTTTTATAATTCATTATTGATTAATGTTAATAAAATAAGATATTTCAAATTCAATTTTATGAATTCTACATCTAATTTAATATGCTGATGAAATATTTTCAAAAAAAAAAAAATTCATAAAATATATTTTATTGCATGGTAATAAATTTATGTTGATAATTGTTACTTTTTTTCTAATCATTCAAGATCTTTAGGATTGTCACGAATGAAAGAAAAAAAACACATTCATTTTAAATCTTATATTCTATAAAAACTTTAGTTCTTTAAAATGAATAAGCTTTTTAATGTGTCGATTCTTTTAACACCTATAATAGTTATTCAAAAATTGAAAACTAATAAATATCTTCTAAATAGTCCCAAATGAATATTTTTAAATATAGAAAATAATAATAATAATAATAATTGTCTCAAGAGAATTAATGTTCGGTTCAACAACTTGACTGTTAACAATTGTTATGTATTTATTTATTTTTTGTTCTTCTCCTATCAATCAAATTATAAATGTCCATGAAAATTTTAACAGATATAATTACATATTTTGTTTCCTCTTTTCAATTAGTCTAATTTTAGTTTTTTTTTTGCTAATAATATATATATATATATAGAGAGAGAGAGAGAGAGAGAGAGAAGATAAGAAGAAAAAAAAAGAAACATTCTCATGAGATTTTCAAGAATATGCATGCATATCGTATACAAAAATTGGTTAGAGAAAATATATGTCAAAATGCAGCAAAATATGTTTGTATTAGAAACATGCTTTAAGGCAATTGTACCGAAATATAATATCTATACATTAACGTTATATTATTGATTTACTGTTTGCATGATTTACTACTGGTCTACTTGTTATAACATGGTATTTTGTGCTTTGACACACACACGCACATATAACTCGTTTGATGATGATGATGATGAATTATACAAAATATTATAGAATAAGAATATCAAAGTATACATACGTATGTGCTTCTGGGGATAATATGTGATCAGTCTTTGTATAGTTACTTATATTAACAACAGAAACAGTAGTTCGATGTCTATCGACAAGAAAAAGTTATTAGTGATGTACTGTCGCCATTATTATGAGAAGAGAGCAAAGAATATAAAGGTTACTTAAGTGTAGGCAAAATAAAAGACAACTGTTTCTGGCTTTCGTTTATGGATCTTGTCGTTTCTAAGAAAAACAAGCAAAATGTAAAGTAACATACAACATAGATGACGATATGTCATGGATATATATTAATCTTTCTATAGTCTTCTATTAGAGACCTTTACTTTGGTTAATTTGACTTGAAATACAAATGAAATAACAGTAATATAACACATATTTCAGTTTATCTAGATATGAGTACGATTACTTCAACAAAATAGATAAAATTCACATAGATATATTATATTTCATAGAAAGAAAACATACGTTTATAGTGAATATTTTATTAAAAATATTTTTTTTTTTGTTTTGTCTTTAATGATTCTTCAGTAAATAAACAGCTGTTAAGATTCTCGAAGTTTTGCTTGATTTTTTTCTGTTTTGTTTTTTTGTACTCTTATCGATCTACTTAACCTACTGAGAGATTAATAAACTTTGATTGACCTTTTTCTTGTCTATCGTATTTATTAGATTCTTGTCAAAAAACTAAGTATATATAATCATCAGATACAATTAATCTCAAATGAAATTTATATTTATTTGTTTATTTTGTCTATACATTTACATTATAGTTAAAAAGATGAATTAATTTTATTTCTTTTTTTTTGTTTTTGTAATCATATAAACATTAGAAGAAAAAAAATAGTTTTGTTTTTGTTTTTGTTATTCTATATCAATTGATAAAAGTGAAATAGAAAGAAAAAGAAAAAACAGCAATACAAATATTGTCCACAAATATTTTTCTCTTTAAACAATATACACAGTTCTAGAAACAAAAAAAAATGAAAACAAACTGGAAATGTTTACAAAAAAAAAAAAAAAAAAAAAACTTTATAATTGTGGTGATATTGTATGTAAGGATTTTAATTCTTGTTGTTCATAAAATGTATCAAAACGACGATGATGATCATTTTTTGTTGAACCATTTTTTCCTTGAAGACGTGATCGATGTAATGATGAATAACTTTGATATGAAGAAAAATGTCTATGTCGAGATGTTGAATATAAACAATGACATTTAAGTAAAGCAATAAATTTTAAACGAAAATTACGATTAAATATTGTATAAACAAGTGGATTTATTGTTGATGATACATAACCAAGCCAAACAAAACCACTTAATATATTTGGATTAATTGAACATCGTTGACAAACTCCTTGTAATAAATTCATTATACAAAATGGAAACCATGCTATGACAAATATAACAAAAACAACACCAAGTACTTTAACAGCTTTTTGTTCATTACGTACAGCTGAAGATTTTGTACGTGATATACCAATATTTGATGTTATTGTTAAACGATGCCAAGTTCTTCTTGTATTTGGACGAGATTTTGAACGATTTGAAGATGTTAAAGATTGATTTGATGATGTTGACATTGGTAATGATATTGGATAAGATTTTGGAGAATAATGTCGACGTAAAGTTGGAGAAGAACTAGTTGTTGTACAACAATTCAAATATTTTAAACGATTTATATGTGATTCAGGTTCAAAAACAGTTTCTAATTGATGTTGTTGTTGTTGTTGTTCTTGTTTTTGTTCTTGTTGTTGATAATTACAAGTACATTTTAATTGACAAAATGGATTTTTTGGACAAGCATATTCAATATGTGGTGAAGTTTTTGTTGATACTTGTAATATAAGATCTTGTGATACAATTGGTTTTTCTTCTATTTGAGATTCTTGATCGGATTGTTCTTGTTGTTGTTGTTGTTGTTGATGTTGTTTTTGTTGTTGTTGTTGTTGTTGTAAACTTATATTATCTGCACTTTCTTCACTATATTCTAAACTTGTTTGAATTTGCCGTAAACGTGTACGTTTTAATGCTCTAGTTGACATTGGTGTCCATTGTGAAGTATTAGTTACATTAGGATTTGTACTTGTAGTTTCTCGTGTTGGTATATGTCGTCTTAAAAATGGTTTAGCAACTAAACTAGCAGCACGAGCTAATTGTTCATGAGCAAGTTGTGTTTGACACTGTCTTATTTGTTTTTTTAAACGACGTACAGTTAATGTATACATAATAATAACTATAATTAATGGTATAACAAATGAAACAACACTACCGTATATAACAAAAAATTGATTATTTATTAAACATTGTCCATTAATAAAAATATTATAAGGATTAATTGCACCAAGTACAATCATTGGTGATGATAATAAAATTGCAATTAACCAAACAATTATAATTAATAGAAGAATTTTACATTTTTGTTGTCGTGTACGAGTATTTAATGGATCATTTATTGCTAAATAACGATCAATTGAAATAACAACAATATGCATAATTGAGGATGTACATGAACAAACATCCAAAAATATCCATAAATCGCATAAAGCTGGACCTAATATCCAAAAACCTAAAACAACGAAAAAAAAAACACCGCGATACTTATATATTTGTCTTTTTAAATTTTAATTCTAATTTGTCTTTTGTTTTTTTTTCTTTTTCTTCTACCTGTAAATTCTTTAACAACAGCTAATGGAATGACAAGACCCGAAACGAGCATGTCAGCAAGTGCTAACGAGAAAAGAAACCAATTTGTACGACTTTGTAAACGTCGTTCAGTTGCTATTGCTAGACAAACAAGTAAATTGCCAATAACACCAATAATAGAAAAAAATGAAAGTAGTAATGCTGGCCAAGAATAAGAAATTATGAGTATTGTATTTGAATGCCGTTGTGTTGCCGAAAAAATGAGGCCACTATTATCAATGAAAACAACAGAAGTTGTGTTCTCGTCGGCGGCAACGACGTCGGACGAGACATTTGAGTGCATCGAAAGTCATTCGTGTTTAAAAACCTTTCGAATCTCTTGCCAGCCGATTGCGTAGCATTGGAAAGAATAGAATGTAGCAAAGATCTGAAGAAAAAAGGACATAGAAAGAGAGAGAGAGAGCGTAGAAGAGCCAGAGAGAGAAAGAGAGACAGGAGATACAAAAAAAAAATACACTATTATTATTCCTGCTATCGTTTTTTCTCTGCTTATAGAAAACCGGAAAGAGAGAGAGAGAGAGAGAGAGAGAGCGAGACACATACAGCGAAAAAGAACTATGTTGGTCGTATCAAGGAAAGATCGTTTTTTTTTTTTGATTAATCATCTATTCCTATGGAAGTGCACAAACAAACTCTTTGTTGAAGTGTTCGATTATTGATTTCCTTATTTTTTTTTCCTCCACTTCTACCTAAATATATATAGAAATATTTACTAACGTCACACTTATTTTGATATCCATCGTTCGAACTGAATTAATAGAATCAACCAATATAGAAGGTTGTCATTTTATGTGAGTGTTCCTGTCAACAGCAAAGACTGACAAGAGAAGCAAGAATAGAATCTTCGAAAAAAAAAAAAAAAAAAAAAAAAAAAACAAAAGTCGTTGATCATTGGAAGGAAACACTAGTTATAATAGTAGTTACGTTGAATAGTTACCCTCCCCCCCCTTCCATCCTTTCTTGCCTCCCTCAAATTACTTGTGTTCTCTCAGAGTAATTGAGACATCACGACAAGATAAGATTTGTATGTACGCTTGCACACATTCGTTGCTATAGCTTTCACTTGCTCTCGAACTAATGAAGCATCTAATAGGCAAAAGAAAAAAAAATGAAAAACGAGAGAAAAAAAGAGTAAGACGTAAACATGATCGATTGATTGATCAATTCTAATTGACAAATCGAAAAGAAATGCAACGACATATTCTTTTCAGCACCTTCTGCATTTTTAGAGAACAAGAATTTGCTACATATATATATATATATATAAATTTCAATCTAAAAGAAACAAAACACAATGTTTGTCTATTAAAAACTAATAAAAATAAAAAATCTTAAAACACAGCACACGATATTTTTTTCTCTTATGATTCATTGCCATTTTGATACTACTCTCTTGCCTTTTTCTCTCATATTTTACACTATATAACCATATCAATTTATTCAAGCGCAATGCCTTGTGACACGACATAATTATTTGATTTTAATCGTTAAAAGAATACGTTCGTTTATCCGACTTGTCATATTTCAAATGACAGACAATGATTATTCTTTTCTTCATAGTGATGTATATTTTCTTTTTTTTTTTGTAATGTTTATCGATTGGCATAATAACTTTAGTTGTTTTTTCTTGATATGTTCTTATCCTTTTCTACTGTTAACAATTTGCCTATTAATATAATGTGTTAGTAGTTTGAGACAAGAAAAAAAAAAAAAAAAAAAGAATCTTACTGGTCTTTTGTCGTTTCATCAGTCTATAATATACAGCTGTGACACATATTTTTTTTGCTTTGTTGTTGTGTGACAGCAACGATAATGGCAACAATAATTCTACATACTTAATTATATTTAGTACACCTGAACAATTTCCTTCAGTGGTTAATTTATTAGCTGAATCATACAATCCACATGTACGATGTGGTGCTGCAATGGCACTTGGTTTAGCTTGTGCTGGTACAGGCAATCGGGTAGAAATTATTATGATTGTTTTTCTTTCTATGTTAATTATTGTTATAATTGTATAAAATGATAGGAAGCTATTGCTGTACTTGAACCAATGTTAAATGATGCTGTGAATTATGTTCGACAAGGTGTTTTAATAGCATCTGCACTTATTTGTATTCAACATACAGAAGCAACTTGTCCAAAAGTTTGTAGTAATTTTGTTTTATTATTTTATCTTATTTTATTTTATTATCTAGGTAAAAATGTTTCGTGAACATTATATGAAAGTAATTAGTGATAAACATGATGATATTATGGCAAAATTTGGTGCCATTTTAGCTCATGGAATTCTTGATGCTGGTTTGTAATATTAAAACTTATTGATTTGTTTTATATATATGAAAATAATTATTCTAGGTGGTCGAAATGTTACTGTATCATTATTAACACGTAGTGGTCAAACAGATACAATGTCTGTTGTTGGATTACTTGTTTTTACACAATTTTGGTATTGGTTTCCATTCAGTTTATTTCTTTCATTAGCATTTTCACCAACATGTTTAGTAACACTTAATCAAGATCTCAAGGTAAATTATTCACTATTCATTTAATTTCAATTAAGAAAAACAAATTGTATTTATTTATTTTTTTTTTTCGTTTTTTTTTTTAATATTATATTATAGATGCCAAATGTGGATTATATATCAAATGCTCCACCATCTGTATTCGCATATCCACCAGCACTTGTGGATAAAAAAGAAGAAAAAAAAGAAAAAGTCGAAACAGCTATACTTTCAACAACAGCTAAACAAAAAAAACGTGACCTTGAAAAGAAAGGTGAAAAAACTGATGAACCTACAGCAATGGAAACAGTAAATTAGTTTTTAATTTAATATTCTATTCGATATTTAATAATAGAATTATTTTATCTATATTCAGGATTTAGATGAGAAAAAAACTACTAATGCTACTACAACTACTACTGTTGATGATGATACTAAATCAAAGAAAGATATTGATGACAAGGACAAGGCGACATCAATAGAAAAGAAAGATGATTCAACAGTTCCATCAAATAAAAAAGAAAAAGAACCCGATTCGGAAATACTTCACAATCCGACACGAGTAGTGAAAGCTCAAGTATGTCTTCTTTTCTTATCAAATATAGATATATATATTATTAACTATAATCAATTGTTTTATTATTTTATAGCAACGTTTACTTTCATTACCGAAAGGTTCACGATATCAAACAATTAAAGATATAACACATGCTGGAATTATTCTTGTTAAAGATACACAAATGAATGAACCAGAAACATTAGTTGAATTAGCTAAAGGTTAGAAAAAAAAAAAGACTAATAGAATAAATTTAATCATTTTCTTTTTTTATTCTAGCTGGTGGACCAACAAAAGAAGAAGACTTACCAGAACCACCTCCACCTGAACCATTTGAATATCGCGATGAATAAATATTTTTTTTTTTTTTTGTCCATCATCATACACTAGAAAAACAAGCTAATATGTGTGTTGTTCAACCTTATTTCTTTTATTCTTTATTAATCTAATAAAAGGTCTTCTTTTTTTGACGCACTCTCTACTATCCTTCTAGCTTCTATTCGTATCCGTTTTTCTTTGATTTATTTCTTCTTCTTTTTTCTTTTTTATTATCATTATGGCTGCTCAGCAATAAATAAAACAAGGATGAAAAGAATTTGTTTTTATTAGTCATAGAAATTGCATAAGAACTGCTTCTTGGAAAAAAAAAGTCTCATCAAAAAATCATGTGCAAATAAATAAACCAAGGAAGAAAAAGAACAACAAAAAAGAAACTTTTATGCTTTTACAGGTGTTGTTTTTCCAACCGTCAACTCTTTTAACAATTAGACAGTGGTTGTTTTTATTTCATCTATCATATTTCAGATTGATTTCTTTGGTATATCTGTGTAGATCATCGAATACTATGGCATCAGCACCTATCGAATTGGGAGATTTTACTTGTAGTATTTGTAAGTTTGACAATAAAAAAGAAATTTGATGAATTTTTACATACAAATAAAACAAGGTATTTTCATTTTTATTAAGAATATCCTTGTTGATTTATTTCTATTCTATGACATTTATTCTCAAGATATATTAGCTGTAGTATATTAAAACCATATCGGTTTCGTATGACAACAATATATAAACTATTTTGACACAATATCTGTAGAATGTCAACAAATATACTCTGTCTATAGTGCAACGATTTTGTCAATTAGTAACGGATAATGAGATCACTAAAGGTCAAAATTAGATATTATGGATTATTTTTTTTCTTCTCTTATTTCGATTGGAATAAGAAATTATTATTTTCTTTTTGTAATCAAGAATATTCATTTGACTATAAAAAAGAATATCTCTCTTCAAAATTTCATTTAAATTATTAAAAATAATAAATAATAATTTTCTAAGTTTATTATTGATCTATGTAATAAATCAAAAATAATTTTTATTCATAGGTCGTGAAATATTTGAAAATCCTGTGAGTCTTTCTTGTTTACATTCTTATTGTCAATCATGTTTAAGTGGCCTGAAAAAACCACCACCATCACCATCATTACCAAATACACTATCAAATCCAGTACCACCTACATCAACAACTGGATCTCTTATATATAGACCAAAATTTTATGAAACTAATCAATGTTTTGTTTGTGCTGTATGTCGAACAGAATCATTTGGATATTCAGATTGTCGAGATTTAGAAGTTGATTTAAAGACTCTTGAAGGATTATGTCCTCATTGTTCGAAACCATTTATGTTATGTAATTTACGAAAACATGTTGAGAATTGTACACCACCAAAACGAAACGTAGGTGTTGATGATATTAGAAAACTTTTTACTACGGATTTTTTACAAAAACTATCACAACCACAAACTGAAGCATTAGAAAAAGCACGAGCTGGAGACAATCGTTCAACATTTCAATGTCCTTATTGTTCAAGAGCAAAGTATAATAATAGTAAATTATTTTATTTTTCATATTTTTTCTTTTTTGTATTTTATTCTTAGTTTTACTGTGGAACATCTTTGTGAACATATAGAAGAAAGTCATTTAGATGATGATCCACGTCGAGTTTGGTAAATAATAGAAATATGTACATACGAGGTAGAAAAAAGTTTAATAATAACGTATTATGTATCTTTTTTTGTTCTTTGCTATCATATTAAGCAATTAGATGAAATTCAATCCACTTAATGATTTTAATAGGCAATGGCGTTTTCTATCTAATGCATTCTATATATGATGACATGATAATTTTCAGATTTCAGTAAACTCTGACGGAACTATGTTTTAACAATGCCATTTTTAAGAAGAAAAAAAAATGAGAAGTTGCTGCATTTTCTACAGCCTCTTCTATTAAAAATTAAAAGTATCACAAAAGCTGAAATTTATCAAAAAAAAAATCGTTAAATGACATAGTTTAAAAAAAATATATCTTCTGGAACCTGAGAACTATCGTGTTCAGTCTTTTAGAAACCTTGCCATTATATAAAGAATGTATTAAATAGAAAATTCCATCGGTTGTTCAAATTATTAACTAGACATTTAACATTATAGACGGAAAAAAAAACTCGTTGTTGTTAAACTTTTTTCATCATCTTATATATACTTTTGTTTTTAAATGTAAAATTTTATGTATATATATATAGCCCGATTTGTGCATCAATGCCATGGGGTAATAGCTCAATAGTTTCAACGAATGTTTATCAGCATATATTAGGTCGTCATCGATTTAATTATGGTAAAATAAGAAAAATTTTTTTTTCTTATTTATTAATTTATATGATTAATATAATTTTTAGAAACATATGTCAATTATGATCAAGATGAAGACACTATGATTGCTGAAGCTGTTGAAAGATCAATGTTTAATCATTGAAAAAAAAAATGATACCCGGTTTTTTTTGTAGTTATATACTAAGCATGAAGTGATATAGAAAAAAAAAGCTACATATATTTTTTTTGTAATGTTTTTCAACTTCTTTTTTTTGTTTTTTACTCAATATTATTCCTGAATGTGAATTGTCTTCATTGACTATTGTGATCAAATGGTTTTTTTTTTTTTAAAATTTTAGATGCATATTAAAAACGAAATAGTATTATAATTAAATAAAATATTCTATTCTTAGTTTTCATTTTTCTTTTTTGTTTCTTATGAATGCAAAAAAATCATCAATCTAAACCAAAACTTCGAACATGGGCATCTGTAATCAGTGGATCATTAGCAGCTACTGGTGCTGTCTTTATTACAAATATGCCTGAAACAATTAAAACTCGAATGCAACTTGATGGTGAAGCATCGATACGAAATGGTTCAAGTAAAAAAAAACAATATGTTAATATATTCGATGCTTATAAAAAAATTATACGACAAGAAGGTTTTAAAGCACTTCATGCAGGTCTTGGTCCAGCTATTGGAATACAAGTTATTATGAATGGATTACGTTTAGGACTTTTTGAACCTATACAAATTATCATAAGAGATGTAACTAAATGTAAACAAGATAGTATTTTAAATAAAGTTGTTTCTGGTGCGACATCCGGTGTAATAGGTGTAACAGTTAGTTCACCACTGTAAATAAATTTTTTTGTTTTTTGTCTTTTATAGTTGATATCTATAAGATTCTAGTTGATTTTTATTTAGTTATCTTGCTAAAAATCGTCTTCAAGCTCAATCGAATTATTTTCATGCTGCTGAAGAACATCATTATAAAAATACATTGGATTGTTTAAAAAAAATTTTTCGTCATAAAGGTTTTTTTTGGTTTATTTTATGGTGTAACTGCTGCTTTACCACGTGTTATTGTTGGTTCAGCTACACAATTAACAACATATGATAAATTAAAAGAATTTTCTATAAAAAAATTAAATTTACAAGATGGTTTTCCAGCTCATCTTTTTGCAAGTTTTATATCATCATTATTTACAGTTACTATGATGAATCCATTTGATGTTATTTCAACACGTATATATCAATCAAGTGGTCGACAAACAGTTTATTATGGTGTTATAGATTGTTTTAAAAAAAACTGTACATGCTGAAGGATGGAAAGCATTACAAAATGGATGGTTAGCTCTTTATTTAAGATTAGGTCCACATACAATATTAACATTTATTTTTCTTGAAAAAATACGTGCATGGTTTTTAACATTCGATACGTTAAGTATAAAACCTCAACCTATTCCAATAGATGTTATGGTTAATAGTGATGCAAGTTAAATAAAAAAAATAAATATGTATTTATAATGATCTTGTCACTTTTATAATTTATATATATATATATATCTATCTATATCTTTTATTTTTAAATTGAGAAGAAAAAAAATATATATTATACAATTTTATTTATATTTAATAAAAAATAATCAAATACAATAGAGAATGGTAAAGAATTCTTCGTTAATAAATATAGCTAGATAAACAAAAAAGAAAGTATATCATTTGATAATTCTTTTACTTTATTACTTTCGTATAAATTAGCACTACGACAAGAAAACATACAAAGCAAAAAAAAAAAATATGAATACATAGTATATGACAGTTTCATCTAATAAGTTAGAATAACCTAATTGTTCCTATGTTGATAGATTATAATTCTGAATAGTTTATGGTAATCCATATATACATATATATAAGTAAGAAATTAATATCATCTGAAATTTTCAAGCTTTTATCTTCTTGCATATGTTTTGAATTACATACTAATGCTTATACTCGATAAAAACAATCGTACTATAGTCGTCATAGACTATCATGAATCTGTACAGCTTCAATATTGATTAATTAATCTTGAATATATGTTATATTACTAAGTCATGTTGACTTTGTTCTAGTCGTTGAAAAACAAGACGTACTCAATAATTGTCACTAAGAAAAAGTTTATATTTATAAGATAATTGTTTAAAATCTATAAGATTATGAGTACTTGTTCGATGATTAAATGTATTATCACAATGTGCAAAAAACAACATTCTTATATGATATCGAGATTTTTTGTTGTTTTTATTATGTGTATTTGACATATAATCATTTTAAACTTATTCTTCTAGTTGTATGAGAATTAAGATAGACAATAAATGAATTTTCTTCATTTTCTAAACCTAAGAGTTTTTGAACTAAATATAGAACAAGCATTTGTTGTTTTCTTTAATTGTCTGAAACATATGTCAGAGGATTGCTTACGCGTGGTACATGATGTTTGATAAAAAAAATATCGTTCTAATAAGCTTATCAACAACATTAACAATGTGTTGATAGGTTAAATATTTGAATTAGAAAACTTATCTAAATGGAATGACGTGTCATTGTGTTTACAATTGATATGTAAAACTAATAAAAACAGTCAAACTATTAGAGTATTTACAGATCACTGGAGTGGATATCGTTATTCTTAAATACGTGATAAATAAATACTAATATGTTTTCGTTGATTGTCAATAACAGAATAAATTCTATACAAAACAGTTGACTAACTTTTTCTATTATCTAAAAAAGTTATTTAAAAAAACAAAATGATTCATCATATTAATCATTATGTTTTGCTTTTTCATAGAAGTTTATCATTGAAAAGTCATAGGTGAGTTTCTCTCTGTTTTTTATGATATAATATGCTGTTACAATTATGTACATTTGTTCAGGTTACTATTTATAGATGTGCGAAATTTTTAGATGATTCAGAAGTAAGAATTATTAATATAAATTATAATGATGGACAAAAGTTTATAGCAGTTGGATTTTTTAGTTTTCTTCTTTATGATAATAGCTACGAAGAATCTGAAAAAAATATTTGAATAGCTGAAAAGATCTTCTATCAGGATTTGTGAGTCTAAAAAATTCCAATAGAACTGCTTGAATGAGGATG